CAAACAAGTTGATGAAACAAGAATTTCAGCAGTCTCGTTTGAAGTCATCATTTCGTAATTTATATGATCGATACAAAACCTTGTCAGCAAAAACAGTTTATCAATTTATCATTGATTCAAATGCTGACTGACGTTTTTGTCCCCCGCTTTCGCAAAAGCGAGGGGACATTAAATCTCATCCGTCTGTCAGTCTGTCTGTCTCTCCGTCCGTCACAAAAACTTTAACCTTGCCCATAACATTTGATTTAGTGGAGCTATGACTTTCAGATTTCACATGTGTATACCTTAGGACAAGACCTTTCTTTGGATACCACCAAATTTGACTTTATGACCTTGGAGATTGACCCATTTTTACACTAAAATTCCAAATTCCACTCTGGCATACCTTTCGAACGGTAGGCACTAGGACTTTCATATTTCACATAATGTATTTTTTGTGGCAAGACCTTTCATAGGATACCAACAACTTTGACCTTTTCACATTGACCTTAGAGATATCCATACTCATGAAAAAACTTTAACCTTGGCCATGACTTTTGAAAAGTAGGTACTAGGACTTTCATTCTTAACATATGTAATCCTTGTGGAAAGACCTTTTATTAGATACCAAAATCTTTGACCTTTTGACCTTGAAGATTTTTGTACTTATAAAAAAACTAAAACCCATAACTTTTGAAAGGTAATGGCTAGGGCTTTCATACTTCACATATGTAATACTTGTGAGAAGACCTTTCATTGGATTTCAAGAGCTTTGACCCTTTGAACTTGGAGATTGACCTACTTTTTAAAAATTTTAACCTTGGCCATTACTTTTGAACAGTTAAGGCTAGGACTTTCTTACTTCACATATGTAACACTTGTAACATTCTTAAGAAACCAACAACTTTGACCTTTGACCTACTGAAGATCCTACTTTACGTATCAATATATTTAATTTGCATTCAAAAAAGTTCAATCTTTACTATGTTGCCATACCGGGGGCATCAGTGTTTCACAAACGCATGTTGTTCTTTTTAAGTTTTGACTGAGAAGAGATATACTTTTTATATTTTTTACATGTGCATTACCTGTGTCAAGATATTTGCTATGCTATGAATTCTGGCCCCTTGACTTTCACGATTGACCTTATTTTTCAAAGAAATCAATTTCGGGGATGATTTCTAAACGACATATGCTAGGGCGTTCATACTTGACAAAATATGCCGTAAAAAATGACATCTCACCCACAAAGACACGGAAAGCGGAGGACTACAATTCTTTGAATTTGCTTGTTCATACTCATTGTTAGTTTATTATTTTTACACTGAATTGACGACGGATTTTTCCATTATTTCCCGATCATGACAAGGAGCACACGACGGGTGTGACCGGTCGGCAAGGGATGCTCACTCTTCCATGGCACCTGATCCTACCTCTTAAGTTTTGGAGGTCCATGTTTGCCCTGTTCCTATTTTGCATTGTTTTATGGACTCTCGTTCTTCAATACAGTTCGTTATCTCCATATATTTCATAGAGCCATTGTGACCTCCTATTTAACTTGTTGATTCGATACATATTTCGGGTTTTTCATAGAAAAATATTGACTTTGCCATTCTTTCTATAAAAGAGAGGGTTCCAATCTCTTATCTGCATTTCCTTTTATGGACGGATATTTGCAACATATGGTATTTACATATTCTGATATTTTTTTTTTCAAGAAAATCAACTTAAAATTACAGTACCATTAATCAGATGTTCGCGTACAGAAAATCGGCAGGAATTACTTGGGGTTTTGAAAAGATATTTAATATCCCTATGAGCTTGAACAAAAAGATACCATAGAGTCTGATATATCTGTTTCATATTTATATGTTTATTTTTTTCTTGAAAAAGACATTAATGGTAATTTAGCAACCAAGCTTTATGATAAACGCGATGACTTTAACTTTTCAGTCGTCAACTTCCCTTACGTATGCAGTAATATACAGTGCACCTTCATCGCCTGCATACGGGGTTTATATACTCAGTTGATTGGATATGCAAAAGCAGGGGATGCTTACTCCTCCATGGCACCTGATCCCACCTCTGATATGCGGAGGTCTGTGCTTGGGCTCCCCAAATTCGTATTGTTTAATGGAGGTCTGAGCTTAAATACTGTTCATTACTATATTTTTTTTATGAAAATTCTTGCATTATTAAAAACAACAATAAATAAATATATATTTGGTTTTTTTTTCATCCAAATATGTTTTAGAAGAGGTGTACAGCACCATGTATAGACATTAAAAAAGTAGCATGTAGGTCCTTCAAGTATGAAACTCCATGGGAAAAGATAATAAAGTTAAGACTACGTTGAAATATCCTTAATTTTGAAGAGTTCTCTTTGTTCTATTTGAGATAAAACATTTTCCACTGGTTCATCCTTCCTTCAATGAAATTAATTTCATTGATAAATTAATTATACAAATGGATGGCGTATGTAACTTTGTGAGAAATTTTTATAAGGTTGAAAACATACAAGCTAATTCTGAGAATCTGTGTCCCCCACATAAGGAAAAAAAAGAGGATGCATGGATACAGAAGGGGTGGACGGGACAGTTGGGAATTATGGTATATAATTCAATTGCAAATAGTTCTTGACATATCTCCCGGAAATAAAAGAACAGAAAATATAAATTATCGATCTTGATCCTTTGACTTCCAAAAATGGGTTTTTACTTAGGCTGTAATGGGTTGTTGTATAAAATTTTATTGCAAAACTCAAATGCTTATCGAGATATCGCGCGAAAACTAAAGTGATCTTTAGACAGAAATTTTGAGTTTATGTTCTTGGTCCCTGTCTTTTGACCTTAAAATCAATTTGAGTCTTCTTCAAGCCTTAAGGAGCTGTCATGTTAAATTACGTTGTAAAAGTTCGAATAAATATAATCATTTATCATTGCCGCCTTCATCTGCAAGACAAAAATGATAAATGATATCAAAAGAAATCGTCTTAGTGTTTTTTGTAATTTTTTAAAACCAATTTTGAAACAAATCAGCTATGCTACACTCTGTTTTACATGTATCTACATTTAATTTTCACACCTTGGTGTACCCAAGAGTACAATTGACACTTGCCTAGAAATTTTCGAGGTATGGGTTTGTATGGCTTTTCCAAATGTTTTACGTCCAGTTAATTTGATTTAAGGACTAAAGATCACAAGATCATGGAGTCCCTCAACAGACCTATAAATATAATTATTGTTATCTGTTTTGTCCGTCGTTATTTAGCGTCATGATCAGTAATTTGTCGCTCGTAAACTATTGAATGTTTTCCGCTTACCATATGATTATAATGACAAAGTCCATGTTTTAGTCTGGGAGACACAAAATAAGTGTCAGATCAAAGAGTCAAATAGTAGATGCATAATGGCATTATGTGATAAGATTCTTTGAAAATATCATTTAATTTTCCTCAGTGGTATAGGAGGACTTGTGGATAACAGATGGGTAATCTTCAGAATTATAGAAAAAAATGGCAGTGTCCATGTTTTGCGAAGGGAAACCCCAAAAAAGGATCAAAAAGTAAAATAGGAGATTGCAATGGCAGAATAACAATGATTATGTCAAAGTTTCATTAAATTTCATTCAATGGTAGGAGGAATTCCATATACGACCCAGTAAAAAGTTGTGTTTTCTAGAGCAGAAGGGATTGAAAGAAGAAGATTGTGCTGGGTATATTTTACAACACTATTTTCGTGGTTAAGCTTAATAGTGATTTAATGATTGATAATAGTGACAAATGGAGGTATAGGCATAACTGGGATATTTAGAAAAGTACATAAATCCACTTTCAAAGTAATTCAGGCCCTTAGAACTCTTATTTTTTAGAAAGGCAATAGGTATTGATACAAAAGATTGAACAAGTTGGACATAATTGTGCTGCTTAAAACTTCCAAAACTTCGAGAGCATTTATATTATTTGTAGTTCATGGGTTCATTCAAAGAAATCCGAGATACTATAAGTGACACTTTTGTGATTTGCAATCATGGCCTTTGAAATTATTCAAGATTATGAATAACTTCTTGAGCAGCAGTAGCATCCACTTTGAATATATGACACCAAACTTTCTTGTCAAATTGCATAGTTGGTATGTTTTTGAGCCGTTGCCCTCGAGAAGGATATTTCAATCTTTACAGTTTAAATAATTGTATGACTATTCATTGAAAACAACCAGTTAGTTCCAGTGAAAAGTGAGAGGGTATACTGTAATCGGTATGTCCGTCCGTCTGTCTGTTACTCTTTGGGGTACCCATCTCTTATCCGCAACTCCTCTATTACCACTGAGTGAAATTTAATGAAACTTTCACAGAATCTTTATTACATATTGCCATTGTGACCTCCTATTTTACTTTTTGATCCGACACATAATTTGGGTTCCTCGGCCACAACAAACTTGGACTTTGCCATTAAACCATATGGAAGGCGGGGGGTATCATATCATTTAGTGAGCTCATTGCTCACAGTACCTCTTGTTTTACCTTGTAATGCAAATGACATGTACATCTTGCTGCATTTAAATAATAAAAGTGCAGTTTCAGATTCAAAATTAACAAACTTTCCTCGATCTCAAAACGCACCCTTTCATACAAGATAATAAACGAAACACCTCCTCTTAAAACTAGAGGTACTGTGAGCAATGAGCTCACTAAATGATACCCCCGCCTCCGATATGAATATAATGGCAGTGTCCTATGTTTTGCTCTGGAAAATCAAAAATATATGTCAGATCAAAAAGTAAAATAGGAGGTGCACAATGGCAATATGTAATAAAGATTCTGTGAAAGTTTCATTAAATGTCCTCCAGTGGAATGAGAGGAGTTGCGGATAAGAGATGGGTACCCCAAAGTGTAACGGACGGAAATACAGGAGCGGCTTGATTTTCCAAAAGACTAGGAAAAGGTTGACTTTCAGAATTGTCATTGTCAAAAATACCGATTACTATATACCCTCCCACTTTTCAAGCGGGGGTATAATAATCTGTTTATTCTTTATATTTATAGTGCTAATTCAACAAGTGCTTGAAAAGCAGTTTTAAAAATAGATAATAAAAGTACATTTTTCTCGATCAATACTTTCAGCTTGTTATACTTAACAACAAATTATTTTCAAAGATATTAAGCTAATTGCCAATTCTTAAAATCAGACGCACACACACACCCCTCCCCCTCTCTCATAACATAATAAAGAAACGAATGATATACAGTCGCGGAAAGTATAAAGGAGGAACACAGAAGAAGCATTGTTTCATTTTTTACGTCCTTAAAATTCTTATTTTGTGCATTCAAGGGAGTTTTCCAAGGAAGACAATGCAGATGATGTTTCTTCAGTGTTTCTAAGTAAAGCTTCAAGCATGTTAGTTGTTGACGTCACTGGAGAAATACAGACGGCATCTTTCATTGGCTATAGATGTTGATCTGGAATTGAAGATTCGGTCAAATTTGGGTCAATCTGAACTACAGTGATATTCAAAGCGGCTTGATTTTCCAAAAGATCTAGGAAAAGGTTGCTTTTCTCTAGACTACATTCAGAATTGTCATTGTCAAAAATTGATGGATTGTGAACTAATTCAATAGCTTCTAATTGTTGTTCTGATATGTATCTTTCGTCTTTGGCTCCAGCGGACATTTCTGCTCGCGATATATCATCTTGTAGTTTGATCTGATTTTGGACTTTTTCACGACAGTCCTGCGCTTCACGCGGACTTTGCAAATCTTGTCTTTCTTTGAAATTCAACTGTTTTATTTTGCATTGATCAAAGCTTTCCTTCCCTAACCTTTTCATGATACGTTCTTTCAAATCAGATTTTGTTGTCGCATGCTTGGTATTTTTGTCACTTCCCAACATCTTTGGCTTTGCTTCTTTATTGAAAAGTAAATCTTCTGTGCGGGGATCTGCATTGAAATTTTGTGATACTTTTGACATCATTAAACCTTCTACCATCGCATCAATTTCACTCAGTCTCCTTTTCTGTCTCTTCTTTTTCTTTACTTGCATGCAGTCTAGTTGTTCTGTCAGTCCATATAACTTCATTTTCAATTCAAGTTGCTAGAACAAGAAGTTCAAATGTTTAAATATTGTAAAATCGCTTTAAATAAGCTTTAAACAACTTTTTAAGAACATCACATTTCGCGTCTTCTATCGCATGAATTAATTGTTAAAGCAGATATTGAATTTTTATTGTTTCTAGCTTTATGCAATAAAAAATACTCATTTTCTACATTTTAATTAGGTATAAAAAATATCGAATATGTTTATTTCTGATTCTTGCAAAAAAAAACAGTCGAAATATTAATTAACGTACATATTTTTAAGTTAAATATAATAGTAATAAGAAATTATACTGAAAGAGGATCTTACAAAAATTCTTATCAACATTTTCTGGTATTTTTTCTCCATTGCTTTCTGGTTTGCTTCATATTGATGGAGTTTTTCTCTGTCTTTTTTCAGAATTTTAACATACTCCACGGATGCTTTTAGAATGGAACCTTTATTGAGTTTCATTGACCTGATACAAAAAAAAATAATATTTAGAATTTATAGTAAATACCGGTATTCATCATTTATAGTAAATATTCAAGTTTTCTGAATAAATAAATAAACAAATTGATATTGTCGAAGGAACTATTTGCAAATACATGTAGCTGATTCAAATAATGAAGGAAATTCAGAATAAAGAATTTAGAGAAGGATATGCACACATATGTATCTTTTAAATTGGTTTCAAGTGTGATCCTCAACAAAGTATTGCTGTTAAATACAAAAATGTTATTACGGATGAGTGGACGAGGGCAGCAAAGTAGCAAGTTCTTTAATCCTGTCGTTGATATTGTATCGCCGTCTTCGCTCAACTGAAAAACGAAATATTGCCGAAAGATCAACATTTTACGATATACATGTATATTTACTAAGAAAAATGTAATAAAACATATACAATTTAAAAGTTTGATTGTACACTGTATTTCTGAATTATAAGTCATTATAAACAAATGAAATTAATTTTTTTAAACTTTATACTACTTATTTTAAATATTTTACCTTTCCTTTACGACCCCCCCCCCCCCCCCCCCCGAATAATGCAATTTCTGTGTTAAATTTCAGCGATGACACAGATAAAAAAAATGAGCATCTATCTACACTACAGTCTTACTGATATTATGATTCTCCTTTTTAATTCTCTCCTTTCGACGGAGATCTGTTTCTTCTTGTGCGGTAAATTGTCCAGAGGTCGAGAGGTCATTTCTTGATTCCTCTTCGAGACCCCTCAGGTTACTTTCTTCAATCTGTGAACTCTAAAGAATAACGCCAAAATATTATCCATCGTTTCATATGAAAATTAAGATTAAGTATGACGATATACACTGCTGGACATTTTTTCACCTCTGAGCAGTATACAAAATGCTCGATCGTGTGAAGATCTTCCTCGGCCACTGTGTCAATTTGAACTGAACCAATAACATCCCCAATCAGCGTATCTACCTATAAATAAAATTAACCTTAGACTCTAAAATCTGCCCTTTTAGATAATGGTATAACAGCGATTAAACTGTAAACTAAATATGAAAAATTAAGAATTTCATAATTCGCATGAATCAAATTTTCAGGGAAAAAATCTTAAAAATTATGTACAAATATGTGCAAAAAGTGAAGATGATTTTACATTTTCTCTATATATTTCATTTTAAAAAAATTTTGTAAAATTTTATATTTTCTTGATAATCCAAAAAAATTGTTGTAGTTGATAAAAACAATAGTTTTTATTTGATCATCATTGATATTTTAAAAATATTGTAATTCAATCGACATCACTGTCTAGTTTTGGTATGAAACATGGGATAATTTCATTGACAGTTATTAAAATTATCATAAATTTCTTGATAATCCATATATTTCCATTTCATTGTGAAATAAAATTGTAGACTTAGACATTAAAAATGTAGACTGATAGATTTAAATTACAAGAGGATTTCCATGCCAATTTCAATAGTCCTCGCACACTGACGTCAAACACAAAGGCAGTCGCACGAGATTTACATGCATATCTGGCCTCCTTAGCGTCAGACACAGAGACAGATGATATTTTAAAAATATTGTAATTCTAATTTATATTCTCAAAATCAGTTCAAGAAATAAATTCCCCCAACTTTCAAACAGTTATCACAGAGAAAAAAAAAATTAGAAATGGAAATATTTACTTATAGTCAACAATGATCTTGAATTTAGAACTAATGTTAAGTGATGAACTATCTTTCACTAAAACGTAAATATGTAATGATCTTTTAAAGAAAGATAACGACACATTTCTGGTTTTAGTACTGAAATAAATAAATGAATAGAACAAAATTTGAACATTTGCCAGTGATTTTACAAAATGTTGTTTTCAATGAAATATATAGAGAAAAAATAAAATTATTTTCACTTTTGGAACTGTATGTTCGTTTTCAATGTGTACAAAATATATACGTACATCATCAATATCCTCCATGTTTGTGATGGCGTGACGTAATTCTTCAGAGAGAGGCAGATCATGAAGAGGCTGGTAATTGTCTTGAGAATCTTCTATTAACTTTGAAAACATGGCTTCAATATGCTCAAAATTGTGGGCTTGGGAGGTAGTTGGTTCTTCTCTTTGTAGTTCAAATCTGTCAGTAACAGTTTGGTTGTGGTCCATGGTTATGTTGTTGGAGATCTTTTCATGCATCTTTCTCAAACAAAGTAGTGATTATTAAGATATGAATAAATATATACAGTTAAAAACCCGTTGAATATTAAGCTGTTATTAAAGTGACATACTGCTGTTCAATCATATGTCAAGTTTAACAGTTTAACTGACGTGTAATGGATGTCTTTGTCAAAATTTGAATTCATTCACAATTAAAACATCAAGCATCGCTTAAGCATATTTTTTGTATGTATTCTTTTTAAAGAAAGGACTGCGCATATTTGAAAAAAGAAAACTCACAGGGTAAAGACGAAAGATCTGCATTTTGAGACCCTCCCCAAATTATTATTATATGTAATTTTACGTCCAGTTCGAGTTATTTTCACTCATATGGAGATGTCCCATAATACCGAATTTGTGCTTCAATTAAGACCATTACGCGAAACTCAGGGCAATAGAGCATTTAGGGATCTTTATTTTCCCATGCCTTCGTAATACGATTACTCAGTTTTCAAGGTCTCATCCGAAAGACCCATAACTTTCCATGTGCTGAGGGCTTAGTGAATGAACAGTTGTTACCTTTTCTTCCAACTTACGCGGCTGAAGTACTAGTTCAAACCCAAGACTTACATATCCTGATCATAGAGCGAACAGTCTATCCACTGAGCTGCACACAAAAGTAACCTGGATACCTGACTTGATTTTTCCGTTCCTTCCCGATCATGACAAGGAGCACACGGCGGTTGTGACCGGTCAGTAGGGGATGCTCACTACTCCATTGTACTTGATCCCACCTCTGATGTTTTGGAGGTCCATGTTTGTTCTACTCCAAATTTTTATTGTTCAGTAGAATTTTGAGCTTGAATACTGTTCGTTAATACTTTTTCTTATATAAAAAAATCATTTAAATTCTGATATCGTGTTAACCAAATAAATAACCGTTTAACCAAATAAAATAGTGGCAGGAAGTTTATCATTTAGTACACAAAGTTAAAGCTTATGGATCAAGGGGCTTTTTTTTAACATTTTAATACCTCATTCGACACAGCCCAGTCAGAAATACATTTCAAATGTAGGTGAAACATTTGATTATGGTTCTTTTTAAATTATTATCCTTATTTAAATTCTTTTTTTTTGTATTTTAAATACTGATTTTACCAAGGTAGGAAAGAATTCAGACTGATATTTTTTTGTTTTATGGTTTGTTTAATAAAGTTATGATATGGGAAAACGAGAAAAGATAGATAAATGATTAAAAATAAATCAACAATAAGAAAATGTAAACAAAGCAGTGGTCATTCGCAAAATTTTGAAACGTAAAAATTAATCAACAGCATTTTGACCCAGATTCGCAAAATAAAATCTACATAAAAATTTCCAGATTTACAGTAGTTTGCATTTTGTATGGCGATTGTCCGTGGTTATGCTGATTAAATACAAGTTACTGAACTTTAAGAGTGTCCTTAGAATTATCAAATTGTTTTTAAAGTCTTACGATAGAGTCAAGAAAAGAAATTCTCCTGTGAAATTATTGGATGCTTACTGGAAATGGCTTTTACACACTAATTGTAGAACCAGAATGGCATAAAATATGGGTCTCCAGATAAGTTGCTGCTTACGCCGACATACCTTGTACACTTTCTATACAAAACTTTATAAATAAGACGTCTTGGCTAGATTAAAAATCATAGATTGATTAAAGACTTTGATAGATGTTTAATTAGTAAATAAAGTATTCAAGTACATTGATTAAAGAATAGTTTTTGAAGTTTTACGAATGACACATGACGTAGACGATGCATCATTGCGTCAAGGTATAAAAGAGAAGATTTTGAAAGTGCGTTGTCAGAATCCCGCTTGAAGTTCCACCTTGCACAGCACCGTGCACCAGATTTGAGGTATTTATATAAGAAAGCAGTTTAAAGTAAAGATATTTTAAAATAGTTTCAACATAAGTTTTAGCGCAGTAAGAACCTTTATCAAGTTTGAAGTAATATTGAATATTTAAATTTAGCGATATTGAGACAGTCGGAGCACTGCACTCGGGATTCTGACCCTGGGAGACACAGAAAATTGTCTCTCCCAGTAAAGTTACAGTTGTTATTTAAAGTTTGTAATTTGTTAGCAGTTTATATTTTTGTATTTATTTTATTTTTATTGACAAGTAAAACTTAGTCAGTTCTTATAGTTCGGTGTGAAGTTGCACCGTTTGACTGAATTACGACAGTGCACCGTATTTGAATCAATTATCTTTTGCATGAAAATATATGAGGTGTTGGCCAATTTGCATGCATACTTTTTACTTTAATGACATAAATTACTTTATTCTATAACCAGAAGTTACAGATTTTAGGGTGATGGACTTAAGTTGAGCATATGCGGAATTATTGAGATAGTCGAGTGCGCTTGCACCTTACACCGAGTTACTTTGTGAATTTATGTTCCGAGCTTAGATCTAGTATATTTTAGCAGAAACCTAGCACCTAACACCGAGTAAGGTTATATAGCACCAGTCCAGTAAAGATGGAACTTAGAACCAATTAGCTTATATCAGTAGCACCTAGCACCTGTACACCGGACACCTAGAACCAGTTTGCTCCAGTATCATCGGTAGCATCCAGCACCTTGAGTCGGTAGCGCCTTTCATCGAGTATAACGCGCAATTGTGAATGTGATTATTATTATTGTACATTACACTGTGAATTGGGACGTTATATAAAACTTGTGTATTGTACTTTTCATTTGATTAATTTAATAAATTTATTTTAATTGATCACACTTGTTCTATCTAATTTTACTCAAGCACGGGTACCTTCGAACCCATTATTGTAACGTGCCTCATGGGTACCTACTGATTGAATACACACTCAAGACGAAAACGTTACAAATGCAATTTTTAAAAAACCGAATTAAATCTGCACAGTCGTAATGAAAATAACAAACTGAGTAAAGAATGAAATTAAAATGGATTACCTTTCCATTGACAAATCTGTATAATTTTTCTTGCACATTTTCAAGTAAAAAAAAATTGAGAGCACGTTTCAATGCGTTTGCTTTGATCACAATAATCTATTATTTAGTATGAGTTACAAGTATTTTAACCGCAGTTTTCAAGGAAATATAAATCCATCAGTCAAGCAGAATTCTCATTTCTCTATGAAAGTATTGAGTGCATTTTATTTCAATAATTAGAGAAAAAAAAACATATTCATTGAATTCATCCAAGAAAAAAATACCTCATTTTTCTTTTCCGACCCCGCAGACTCATTTGCCTTTTCAAATATAAGTCCCTCTTTGTATCTTTTGTCCATTTGTTTCAGTTGCTCGCGTATGGCTAAAAGTTGTTTGCTAGCATGAAATGTTGTCGTCGTCATATTTTCCATCTTCAATAATGTAGCATTTTCAGCACCTTCAAATATATAGACAGAAAAATAATGCTTGTCGTTTGGACGTGAAATGAACAATGCACCAAAACTCATAAATTGCAACTATATGTTGATTATATATTTATGATATTCATGTTTACCTTCTATTGGTCGAAAGCAAATTACCTCGAAAGAAATCTCTATAAAAGGAAAACGAAGTTTGAATTTTAAGGATAATAAATATGCTGACAAATATAGAGCCTGTTTTCTTTCACTCTTCATTGCAGTTGAATGCATTGCATGTTAATGACCTTGCGCAGATAAGTCTTTGTAAATGGCCGGTCGTCGATTAAATTGAAAACCAATTTAAAATTTATGAATGAGAAGCACCTCTATGGTATTACATATTTGATCCATATCTAATAATAATGTATATTATTACCTTTCTTATGGGAAATTATTTTAAAATTCTTATATTAGGAATATTTATAATTTTGGATAGATAATAAAAAGCCATTGAAGTGTTTACTGCTAATAATCGTACCATAAACAATCAAGTTATGAATAAAAATAGATTAACAACAAACAGGAAAACAGACAAATGAGGTAGAGAGCCGATGAAAAGCCACCCCTTCTTGATATGATTTTTAAAAAAAGGATAACAAAAGGTGAAAACGTATATGTTTACCCAAGTTTGAATATAGGACAAGATATTTAAGAATTAGACTGTTAATAACCGGTAATGTATCATTTTGAAAAGAATTTCTTTAGAAACGAATCATTTTGTGTGTTCGACATAAATACATAAATTTAGAAAATCCAAATTTTAACATTATTTTTATACTATTTTTACACTATATTATTTTCACACTCTTTTATTTTAACTCATTATACATTATTTACATATGGTATAGTAATTGGTTTCCAATGCATGTCTTTGAGTTAAACGTTCTCTCAAGAAAAAATAACTGATGACGCTAAAACAATCTTAATAAAATTCCACATTTGAAAGAAATGCATTCATCTTACGGTAGCATATTGTAATTTTTAATTTTATTATTTAAATTCATTTCTATTAACATCCCGAGACATGAAACTTTGAAAAATGTGTTTCACAAGCATAAATTTCAGACAAGTTATTGATGTCACATTTTGATTTAGCAAACTTGCACTTTAAGTCAGACTGTTTGTTAATATCGTGTAATGAAGAAAGAGATTGTTTCTGTTCTTACGTAAGTGAATAAATTATGATTAGGATATGGAGGAATTATATAACAATGTCAAAAACAAGAAAAAAAAAAGAATGACATTTTTTCTCTTGAAGTTTTTATATTGCCTTAATTATTTTTTTTTCCCACAGAAAATACCTTGTGAGTGGAATATGTAAAGAGACGTAATTAAGCAATTTTACGTGTAAGATCAGTGATAATTTTATTTAATAGGAAGTCATGGAAATCTTTTTATTCTTGAAAAAACATAGAATGTATGATTTTTTAAATTTGAGATAAAATCTTGACTGGACATGTATGAACATGTGCCACAAATAAAAGAATTTTTGAATTTTTTTTTTTTAAATATTGAAAAGTTTTTAATTTTAAACACAATGTAAAGTTTAATTTTAATAAAATCTCAAGTCACGAACTATTCCAACATTTGTAGATCATTTCAAATTGTATTTTTATGTTTTTAAAACAAATATAAGGAGCGATCAATCTATTACCAAAAGCAAAAGTAATATCCACTTTGACTTGGAGCTGAGTATAAAATACATGTTTACATGTACATTTATGTACTAATTATACATAAAATTTGAAGAAAAAAAAATTCTGGATGGAAAATGAACATAAAGCTAGGCAATGGAATCTTCATATTGATAATTTATAAGGGGATTATTGTTGGGGGGGGGGGTGTTGTATTAATATAGAGTGAGCATCTTATAAATCGACAAAAATAATTACATGTACAAAAAATAATAATGTATCAATGAGCATTTATGTTGACACAATACATTAACTCAAACAGTTTAAGCAATTTGAAATCTATTCTCCACTACTGTCTTATTTCCATACGTTGCACGATTTATATAAGAATAACTTATTAATGATAAAATAAAGTAATAATCGAAAACAAATAAAATTAGTTAATTACACGCAACATTTTAGAATTCATTTTTAAAAGTAGTTGGTTAACCTGGACGTAGTTGCAAAAATATAATACTTGTACATAAAAACAAAACATACCAGTGTGAGCAAGTGAATACGTCTTCACAGAAATTATTCCATTTTGTGACTTCTTTCATCGCAAACTTTTAGTACTTCAGTTTCTCTCAGTCGTTAACTGAATAACCTTCGCTGCTAGGTCGGGATTAAATCAGTTTTTTCCATGCAGTTGTATAAGCAATTTACGTGTACGTGAAATGTCAGTCGTGTGTGTAATGATGCTTATTTTATTTAAAATTAACATGCATTTTTTTTATTCCTTAAACACATGATGCAACAGCACCCGCGTTGCGCAATGGTTAGAGCGTCTACTCTAGAGTCGCAAAGTAAGGAGGTGATACTAACATCGCGGGTTCAAATCCCATTGTGGGAAATGGAGACTGGTCCTTTAGATGAGACCGTTTAAACCGAGGTCCTGCGTCGCAGTAGGTACTGCTCAATGGCCCTGGGGGTCGAGTATAAAACAAAGTTTGTGTCTCCACCCGCAAGTCGTGGCGTCTCTATCTAAGTGAAAATGCTGTAGAGGGACGTTAAACAACATTTATACAAACTTATGATACAAGAATTTCATACCTTCTCATTGAATAACTTTCCTTGTGGCAAATTTAAGGTGCCCATGACAGTTCTAGCGGATTTTTTGTTGATTTCATCCTGTTTCTTGACTAAATTTTGGAGAATATAATAATTATTATATTATAGATAAGAATTATAGAATAATGGTGTAAATTATTTCGTACAAATAACTGTATATTGAATTATTCTTATGAATATCTATTGCATAATGCTGGAAATAAATTACATTTTTAACTTCACTGGGCAAACATTGTTTAAGTTGAGTTGTTTAGAATTCGACTTGGAAATTTTAATCAGAATTTTATTTATCCAACACAGTTTTTATATCTTTATACTTTCAAGATTGTAATGCTTTTTTTATTCAACAAAGTGTTTCTTGTATAAGCATATTGCTTGCGACACTTTTTTCAAAATCCAAACATATTTAACAAAATCTATTCATTCTAAATTTAAGAATTATATTATAGAATAAAGCTTTCTTCCAATAACTTAAGTATAACCAAAAGTGTCTGTCGAGAATGTAGATCTACTGGTTTGTACTTATAACAAAGGAAGAGAAAAGTAGTAGTTGGAACATGAAATTTTACATCAGAAATAAAAAGAATAATGATCCTTGAATAGGTCTCTTTTTGTGGCAAGATTGCAATAAGAGTACTTAACTTGTGTGCCAAATTATTTTGAAATCAGACCAAAACTGTAGGAGGAATAGCATTTTTAAAGTATTTCACAGAAATTTCTATTTTTAGAAACCACGGCAACACCAATCATCGAAATCAAATACCGATACACAGAATTATGAATCTTAGTGTAGTCTACTTCTGTGCCAAGATATTGAAATCAGAAAAACTGTAGGAGAAGTAGCATGTTGAAAAAAAGTTTACAGACAGACAGACGGACGGACGACAGACGCATTACTATCGCATAAGCGCTTCTGGTCTCTGACCAGCAGAGCTAAAGACAGAAAGACATCTTAAAATTAAAAAAAGAAGTCAGTAATAGATAGTAATAAACAGAAGATTTATTGATCACTGAATAAAAGATGAATATAATTTATTTTTCTTGAATGTCATGTTCATGAATCTTTCAAAATTATATTAAAACATACTGTATATTTTTTAGATCTCCAAATATGAACAACATACTCTGTTGATCAGCCCTCTTGATGTCAGTGTTCGAACTGGATAAGGAAAATTTATTCTCCGCGCGATGGAATTAACAAATGTTTAATTTATATGTATACATGTATTTTGTATTATAGTGATAATTGATGTATACCCCCCCCCCCTCGCAAAGTGTTCATATCTATGTTTATTTTGTTTATACTGATGAACAGTAAAGCCTAAAGTTATTCAATAAAGAATTATAATATATATTTATTAACACATAATTGCATTTCAACTCACAATTCAATGCCCAGAGGAGTAAGTTTAATTCAGGTAATTTACTCAACAGTAGCTAAGAGGGAAGCAAAATTTGAATTCCTACTGCCTTTAAGAGATTAAAACATGTTAAACTTATCAAAAATGAAGAGAAAGAAGAGTAGTATTCGACCTCAAAGTCCATTAACGCAATAAAATCGAAAGTAGAGCAAACACAGGCCTCCAGAAACATCGGAGGTGGGACAGGTACCATGGAGGAGTAAGCATTCCCTGTCGGCCGGTCACACTTACCTCGAGTTCCTTTACATGATCAAGAAAACGGGAAAAAATCTACAAAGAACAGGGTTCACATTTGTCCTTGAATTACCCTGTAAATTTCTTTTTTTAAAAAGTGAATTTGCTTACTTTTAATTGACAATGTATTAAGTATCATCTAGACTATTGGGAACTGCGTATCTATCAAAAAAAAAAAATCAACAACAGCATAATTTGTGGCTAGTCTAAGTATTGTGATGTCATGAATCGCGTCACCTTCTCCATATCCAAAGAAATCTACAAATTGGCCAAGCAATTATCTTAGAAATAATATAAAAAACTTCAGTGTACATTTGACTTAATGGTGGATAGTATTTGCTGATAGGATAGTTGTATCGACCATATATAGATCTTCCAAAATAAAGACCTCGAACGAGACTGCTAATATCCTTATTTTGTCTTCTTGTTTGTTATAGCAACCCTTGATTTAAATTTTGGTTGTACTGTACGTAGAGCATACTTTTCCAAATTAAATGAAAGGGAAGACATAAGCCTTATATGAAGGTGATTTTAGTATTCTGCTATTATAAGTAAATATAATCTTTACGTTTACCATAAAGCGTTGTTGTTATG